TCTAAATTTATTGTATAAGGAACTTTGGTGGCATAGTGTACTCATGTGTTCCAAGGAGCATCTGGTGAATTCAAACCATGTGACTCTCAGCAATGCAGCTTGATCAAAATAAGATTTTTCTAACAAGAAAAATTAATGTTCATACCACAAAATTTTTAAGAGTAGATTAAAAAGCAGATCTCAAAAAAGATCATGTGTGATTTGGTTATATCGAAAAGTGGTTAGTATTTTGGTGAACTTGTTTAAATACCTTTGTCCTCACATTTATATGTACAATTTCATAGTATTCATGATTTTTTAAAAAATCAACAGAACATTTTTGTTTTTAAAAGAATGTAAATGCTTTGGCCACTGATCTGAGAAGTTGAGAGAACATTTTACTAATAATTCACTGTGTAAACCCTCTTAATCTGAAAATATACTGGGTATTCTAGTCTCTTCTATTTTTGAAGTTCTGTAATTAAAGTATTTAATTCTTGTTCTATGCCAAAGTCTTCTTTGTAATCAAATTTCCAGTTCTCTTGTCAAATGAATATAACTTTCTATTAAATAAAAATTCACTTTATGTGGTGAAATTTTTTATTGAATTGTTAAAATGAAGCTATCATTTTTTTTCTTAAGATATATCTGTTAGTTAAAAATATGGGAACATTTATTATTATGAGGTTGTCCAAATTCTAAACTCAGCAGATTATAGTTTCAATTTTAACTTTTAAAAATTGTTTCTCTCAAGAAAGAATGGTGTAACAGTGTTAAAAGAATGCCATCTTGTGTATGTATGTGCATGTGTTTGAATAAGTACTGACATTTCTTGAAACAATATCAAGATCTGACAGCTTTTGTTTCTGATAACAAACAAAATAACTCATTGCTGTTCAGTTGGACCTGACTCAGCTGACCATCCAGAGGATTTTCAGAGGGAGGAGACTGCCCATTTTTCTCTCACAGAGCAGCAGGTGGATTCAAACTGCCTGCCTTTGGGTTGGCAGCAGAGCTGCTTACCCATTAGGTCACCAGACCACTGCATTTCTGAGAAGGAAGTATTGAAATGTGGCTTGAGAAGACAGCCATCTAGAAATGGAGTGAGATTTCATTGTAAATCGTTTTGTGCTATTTGAGTTTCTTTTACATACAACTGTTACTGCAAAAATATTTTAAAATATTTGAAAGATACTATCACTTTTGTTTAAAATAAATTTTTCCCTTCAAAAGTGTTCTGAAATGATATAAAAATACATGTTGTTGTTGCTGTTGTTGTGTACCATCAAGTTGGAACTGACCCATAGCTGGCCCTCCAGTGGGTTTTCAGAGGTAGTTAATCATCTGGGAGGAGATGGCCCATCCTTCTGCATATATATACATAAATAGTAGGAAAAAGTTATTATTAACCGCAATTTGGAGTTAATGAAAGGTGATGAAAATGATATTACCCTTCCTCTAATAAAAGGATCAGACAAATTTACAACTGTTTTTCCAGCTAGAGTCATTGAAGAGGTTAAGTGTAAGCAGTCTTGCCATTAGTTTATCAAGGCTCTAACTCAGTAGGAACTTCCACTAAGCCATGAGACAGGCTACGCCTATTTCCTGCACAGTTCGCCAAATACAATCCCTAACGTTAGCTCTAGGCCACAGTTTTGACTGATCCCTCCAAAGTGGAGTTCTGCTGTCATGGAATAATGGCTTGGTGCAAGTTACAGTCTTTCTTAAGATTTCTAACTCCAGATAACCCAGAAGTAGTTTTTAAAGCAAAATGTAATATTTTTATGGGGAGGCAATATTTAATAGTTTTGGGGTTTTTTTTAGGAACTATTATTATTTGTGTGTATATTGTCAAATCAGATCTCACTGGTACAGGAGTATTTAATAGTTTTAAGAAGATAAAAGATTTGAGGAAAAGAAACTTGAGTTTATTTAAGTAGCACCATTTAACTTGATTCATTGATGTGATGACTACAGGATATATAAAGCTTTGTACTTGTCTGGTGATAAGACCTATAAGAATGCATTTTGATATTTATAAGTTTTTATTGGACTACAATTATTTTCTTAATTTTTTATTTTTTAAAATGAACAATGGGGCCATGCTTGGCGTGTGGAGGGAGGGAGACACAATATATGGAAATGATCATAAGAAATACAGTGTGAATGGGGGGAAAAAATCCAAAATAAAATTATTATTTTAAAAATTGGTGGTGGTAATGAAATAGAAAAATAAAGGTATTAAGTCCCCCTCCATACAGAATTCCATTTCCTCTGTTCTTTTAAAGCACAATATGCATCAAGAAATTTTTGTAACAATTTTCATTTAGTTAATAAAATCTGTAATTCTTTTTCAGAATCAATATAATTTAGCAAGAGCTCAACAGTCTTATAATTCCATTGTACAGATACATGAGAAAAATGGTGAGTTTAATTCAGATAATTTTTTTTGCCATTTATGTATTATGTATTGATACAGTAACTGGGACAATAGGGGTAGGTGTATTGGAGTCAATGAGACTGGCTTAGGACAGGGCAGGCTTCAGAGCTGTTGTACATAGGGTTGCTATGAGTCGCAGGCAACTCGACAGCACATAACAACAATGTATTTATCATTATATCTTTCTTGAATTTTTATTATAGCTTTAATTTTTTTTTAATTTTTGTGTGAGTGTACCGTCAAATCAGATCTGACTGGTACAGGAGGAGATTGTCCCTCCTTTTCCCGGCAAAGCATCTGGTGGATTCGAACCGTGTGCCTCTGGGATTGTAGTTGCAGCTCCTTGCCCCTAGGCCACCAGAGCTCCCCCAGCTTTAATTTTTCATGACATGCTGTTACCATAGAGAAAATTTAAAATTTGAGAATACAGACATCCTTTGCTTCACCTAAGTTCCTACACATTTGGCCTGGTTACCTCGCTCTGAATCATACTCTAAGATATTTGAATAGAGAGATGAATCACTTTAGTTACTTGAAATGTATAATACTAGGATAGGAGCTTCATTACAGGCAAGTCTCATAGATGAAATTCGGGTATGGAGTGAATGTGGTCAAGATCACGAGCCGGGCTTTGAAATATTTTACTCAAATGTGTTTTGGGGATACTTATGCTCAACAACAATTTTATCTAATCTACATAAAATACTTCGTAATCATGTAGATGAACCACAGATCTTGGTGTTTTCATATAGCTTAAGTGGTGACTTCATATCGAATAGTATTTAGTGTCAAGGCTGAAAAACATCTTTTTCTTATTTTCTTTTTATTTCTATTTAATTAAACTCACATTACATTATTTTATTACATTTGTTTATGTAAGGCACTGTAGTAGAGAATGTGTGAATATGTATTAGCTTATCTTTATCTGTGGAAAGAACAAAAGGAGAATGAAGAGAGATGTGTGGCTTTTGATCCTTATGGTAATTTGTCACCACACCTGCTGAGAAGCCGCCTCCTTGGTGAGATGATGTAATTGCAGAACAACAATCAAAGTTCTTCTAACGTTTCAGGATTGTGTTGTGTGGGATAGTTATTAACGTTGTTGTTACGTGCCTTTGAGTCACCTGTGACTCAAACCCTGCTCTGTCCTGTGCCAATCTTAGTGTCTCTGACACACCTACCCCCATTACCCCAGTCACTGAATCAATCCATCTCATTGAGGGTCTTCCTCTCCTGCACTGTCCTTTCTCCCTCCCAAGCATGACGTCCCTCTCCAAGGACTGGTTCCTCTTTGCAACATGTCCAAAGTAAAAATATGTCAGACAGAATTTCAGAATCCTTTCTCCAAGGCTTTATTCTCTCCAGGACAAACCTGTTCATTCTCTTAGCAGTCTATGGTATATCCAATACTCTTCTCCAACACCACAGCACAAAAGTATCAATTCTCCTTCTATCATCCTTTGTCATTGTCCAGCTCTCTGATTCATAGCAAGTGATTGCAAAGACCGTGGCCTGTATCAGGCGCACATTAGTCTCCAGACTGACATCATTGTTCTTCAGTACTTTAAAGAGGTCTCTAACTGCAGACTTTCCCATCACAATACGTCTTTATTTCCTGGCTGCTGGTGGTAATTGTTATTTGTGGAGCCAAGCAAACTAAAGCTGTGAACAATCTCATTCTCTTCACCATCCATTATGATGCTGCCAATCGGCCCCCATGGTGAGAATCTTTGTTTTCTTGATATTGAGCCTCAATTCATACTGAAGACTGCAGTCCCTGACCTTCCACAGCAAGCGCTACAGGTCCTCCTCAGTTTTAGCAAGCAGGATTGTGTCATCTGCATAACTTCTCCTCATAGAGCACAGTCTCCCGGATAATCTGTTCTGCATATAGATTGAAAAGGTATGGAGAACAGGACACATCCCTGGTGTACACCCTTCTCAATTTTGAACCTTGTTCTGACAGCTGCCTCCTGGTCCAAGTATAGGTTTTGCATAAACATAATCAAGTGTTCTGGAATTCCCCTTCTTCTCAAGAGTCAGCCACAGTTTGTTGTGATCCACACAGTCAAATGCCTTTGCATAATTAGTGAATCACAGATAAACATTCCTCTGGTATTCCCTGCTCAGCCAAAATCCATCTAACATAAGCTATAATATCCCTAGTACCATGACCCCTTCTAAACCCAGCCTGCACTCTGGTAGATCTCTGTTGATGTGCTGCTGTTTCAGTCGTTTTTGGATGATCTTCAGCAAAATCTTGCTTGCATGTGA